TGAGCTTCTAATATGAATAATTGAATATTAGATTTTAAAATGTCTTCTATCAAAATAAGAGTAATAATGCATCTACGACAATCTTATAGCACGCTATATAAAGATGGTAGAAAATTTTGACATAGTTATATAACAGGAGCAATTTGTTCTTATTATTCCTAATATCATATGTAAATATTAGTAAGCAAATGGTCGGGCAATGGAACACCTGCTTTTCCACTAAATTTGCAGATGTAATGACAACTCGTATAGAATCTTCTCTTTGCACAACAAACAGTTTTGGATGATGGCAAGCAATCCCCTGCTTCTTACGGTCATTACCAAAAGCTACTGAATCAGGAAATGGAGGGTACCTATTAATCAACATAAAACTATAAGAAATTTTCTAAGAGGAGATAGTCAGCCTAAATAATTCGTCCAACTTCTGCAACCAAAATAATGGCCTAAATCAAGCAGCATATATTTACCCTTTAAAAGATAACTTACACCACAGTTAGGTTGGAATATTCTGGGTAAGGCATAGACATTCTATCATCAGGTCTTGAGCTCCAGCATCTCTCAGCGTTGTGACAAGCAATTGTAACGGGTAGATGGAATGGAATCTCACAATATGACAAGAACCTAATAAAACACTTGTTTTAGTATTGTCAAATATAAACGAAGTTCGAATTCAGAAGTGATATAAATTATAAAGTATGAACACAACCAAAAGAATGAATACATGCTCAAGAGACTGCCAGCAATTTTTAATTTTTTAAATGCAGTGAAGAAGATAAGAAAAAATCTACAGTTAAAAAGACAACAGTTAGACAAAAGCGTGCCACAGAGAGGAATGAAAACAACAGAAAGATACAAGTCGTCAAACCATTTTATATCACTCGTGAGTGTTGCGATAAACATCCTTGAAATACTTTCAACAGGATAAAGAAGCTCAGGTAAAGATATGGCATTATGATGGCCTGAGGAACCATAGTTTGCAAATTCGAGGCGATTCAGGTAAAAATTCTTTCCAGGTGATGAGTAAAAGATGCTTCCATGGCTTTTCAACTTTTTGCCGGCAGAAGTAGGACAGCCCCCGCCTAAGAGCATGGCATCTGGATTCTGATCAGCACTAGCACGCTTATGAGCAGCTCCGACGTTTTCTTTTTCACACAGATGGTGATGGTGGTCACTGTTTGCCTCGATCGACGCTACTTTGCTCCCATAAAGTATGTCTGAAGTTGAAGGCAAGACACCAGTGATTTTATTTTCCCTTTGCCTGCCACCACCAGATGATTTCACCCGTTGGGGCAATTCCTGCCCCAAAACTGGCTTAATGCATTTAGACTGGACTTCACTATCCACCAATAATCTAATAGTATTGCCCAAATTCACGCCTGAAAAGTTGTTCAATGAGGTTCCACAGGCACCTTTGCATCCAAGACTTACATCTGGTACAGAATGCAGTATGCGAGATATAGGATCATCACTAAACAAGATGTCTCTGCACCGATCTAAAAGAAAGTTTGCTCTGTTAACAACTCGTTTATAATTTGCCATGGCACTGTCTGAATACAAATCATTTCTCTTCATAGCAAAAACTCTCTTGTTCCTTTTCCCGCTTGAGGTGAGCCCTTGGGAATGTTCAGATAAGGACATATTACTTAATTTCTGCATGCTCTCAAAATCAGTATCATCATCACGCATTTCAAAACCACCGTCGCCATAGTCAATTCTCTGAATAAGAAACCCAATCCGATTCCGGATACTACAATGACAATTTTCTTGATTTCCACAAACTAGCAAGACCTTATCTCCAGCAAACAATTCCACGGCCTTGCCCCTTCTAACTCTGATCCCGTTCACAAAAATCCCATTAGATGCCGCTCGAAACCCAACACCGTCCGGGACCTCGGTCTTACCAGCATGACATGACATTACCCTATTCCTAAATTCGTGAACAAGACATTTGGTGGAATCCTTAAGTAACAAGATCCCGGCCAGAATATAAAGTTTACGGAGTGAACCGTCAAAGAAAATCTGACAGTGTTGCTTACTGACTCGGGGGTCACGAAAGACAAATTGAGAATAACGATGGCTCCGACCGATCGTACAAGGACGGTCAGCACGAAGATGGATGGAGTGGCACCCAAAACCGGTAACATTGAAGGATGAAAACAGAGGTACCTCGAAGTGCTTCAAATCAACAGTGGTTATTGTACTCTTCCCGGCAATATTTCTCGATTTCTTCTTGGAAGGGGAATCAGAATAGGACTTTACAGAAAAATCATCAACGAATCCTCTCTTGCGAGGGTAAGAAATACTGCAAATACTATCGTTAGCTGAAGAAGATAAATCTGAGTCGAACATGAGGATGAAGTTGAAACCTTTATTAATTCAATCATAACACGGGTCACAAAAGAATGATAAAAATTGGTATGGAAGGGAAGCGTACAGGAAAAAATAACTAAACTTAAGGGAAGAAAAAAATAGAGTAAGGAATTGAACAAGAGCGGCAAAAAATTTGAGATGAATTAGTGCCAGAGGAGAGAGCCCCTCTGAAACTGATCTCTCCCCTTTTCCCTCCAAAATTTCCCGTTCGACGAAATAAGGAGCCACGCAGCATGCTGTCGAATGGGGAAGGGATTAAGTGCGGCCGTGTATCTCAACCGTTGAAGAGATCGACTATCCAGAATGTGCCACGTTATCTAATTTGGGCTGGGCTGCTGCCGCTGTTATTTTTGGTCGTCCGCTATTGTTAATTTAGCACTCAAACACATTTAAACTATGTCTTCGCAGCAACTGATTGAATTTAACGGGAACGAGTTAGTCTCTCGTAATATAACAGATTAATAAAAATCATGTGTTTTGTTATGGTAAATCTTAGTTTTAGTTTGTGATGGTTATTAAAAAGAAAAATCGAAAACCTGATCAGAGTAATTTCAAAAATTATGTGAATAGTATGAGCTGGTTAAAATTTAAATCAAAATCATGATCCAACAGAATATTTTAACCAAGTTAATATCTTCACAAATGAGCGGACTAAACACTATGAATGGCAGAAATTACAGAAGTCGTCAAAAACTGCACTACACATGCTGATGCATGCTACCTCCGTTCATTAATACTATTATAGGAGTAAATTTAACATTCAATTTAATTTTAAATATAAGATTTTAATTTATTTTATCTTTTATATTTATTTATTTATTTTAAAGTAATCTTTATAATAGTTATACATGTTAAAATTTGGAAAAATGAATTTGTGGGTCCTTATAGTTCCATTAAATTTTGAATTAGGTCCTTACAGTTTTTTTCTATTTTATCCCATCCTTATTGTTTTTTCGGTTATCAATCCTAGTCCTTCTGTTATAAATGCTGTTAGTTTAGGTTGACTAGGGGCTGACATGGCACTAAATAATGCCTCACTAAGCACACCATCTTCCTCATAGGCACCTCCTCTTTCGTCAGACTCTCCCTCTCCCTCATCCATAGAGCACCTCCTCTTTCGTCAAATTCTCTCTCTCCCTCCTCGACAAAGCACGTGCTACAGAATGACGTTACTACCCCCAAGCTATTAGAACCCATTCATTCTTGCTAAGCTAATATTTTCTTTAGTGGTGGTCATTGTGTTAGGAGAATGACGACACTTGCTGGATCAGAGAAGAACGCAAAGTTGGAACTTGTTCTAGGAGTTTGATTGGTATCATCATTGTTTAAATTGTCAGAAACATTATCATGGGAGGCACCAATTTACACAGATACAATGAAAGAACTGGAAAGAACTTCTATGGCTTCATCTCCTCCTCTCCATGTTTCAGATTCTTCTTCGTCAACATCTTCATTTGTTTTTTCACAAAAGAGAAAGAATTATTGATAGAGTTGAAAGTTCTTGCTGCTTCCACTAGGTCCCACCACGTTCTATCCATTTTAGCAGGACCAATCTACTCAAGTGTTAATATATCTCAGAGTAGGCACCTCTCATTCCTCGACCCCATGACGCCGGTCATTAGATCCGAAGATGGAACGATTGTGGAATCTCCACGTTGCCGCAAGAGCCGAAGCCGAGTCAGGACAACTAGCAGCTGAGCACCACGATCTAAGCAAAGCTGGCTACTTACTGTCAGTCGACTCGAGTTCTGTTGCTGCAGAGAGATCGATCACCAAGGGAGATGGCAAGAATGGGGGAGGAGGAGGATACAATTACAGTCACAACAAGGAAGTGATGAATCTGGAACACAAAATGAGGCTTCTGCAAGAGGAGATAATTAAAGATGATGGTGCTGGAGAAAGAGACAGGTAACGATGTTACTTTGAAGGAAATTGTGCGGAGGAGGGGGAGAGAGAGAATCCAACAGAGGAGGAGGTAACTGTGAGGAAGATGATATGCTTAGTCAGACATTATTCAGTGCCATGTCAACCCCTAATCAATCTAAACTAACGGTATGCATAACAGAAGGACCAAGATTGATAACTGAGGAAATAATAAGGAGGGGATAAAATAGAAAAAAACTATGAGGAGCTAATTCAAAATTTAGTGAAACTATAAGGATCCACAGTTTAATTTTCCCTTAAAATTTTTATCAAATACTACTTTTAACTAATACACCTAAGTAATAAAATTATTTAAAAAATATAACATCTATTCATTACAAATAACTAATTTTACAAACTTTCGTACTATATATATATAACTCTAACGTGAAAAACCGGACATATACAAAGGCACAGTCCCAAACCAAAACCTTAATCGCAAGGGCATTGATTAAGCTAAGATATCAAGAACGTGACACCGCGACTGCTGATCATCCATTTTTCACCCTTCACTGTAGCAGGGTCCAGTGGAAGATCAAAATGATCAAAATATGCCCGTTTCTCCCTCCGATCCGGATCTGAATATGCGGAATCCAGCATCTCTCTTCACTTTTGAAAGGGAGGTGATGAATCCCGCAAACCTAATAGCTAATTCTTTTTTCTTTTTGTTGAATGATAGCCAAAAATCTTGGCATAGCAAGAATCTCTGAAGCGGAAAGAAAGTGCAGATATAATTCAACCCAGAAAGGAGTTCACAGAAGAAACATTACTGGGATCGAGGTTAAACCTTCGACCTTTTTATTAAATATGCAAATCAATAAGGTGCTTCAACCTTAGACACCATTGACACATGAAAACATTCTATGACTTCCAAATCGCACTAGCTGCTTCGGAGGGGAAGAGCCACGGTCTGTTCTGTCCTCGTGAGCAGACGGAAACCCATAATCGAAGTCTCCCACAGATTTATGTCGCCGATGATGACGATGATCATGGTCGTTCCCTGCATAAAGATGATGATGATGAGCCACTTTCTGGGTGGGAGCTGTCTCATAGACATGGCTTTGAGATTCAGTCTGAGGACAGATCTCGGCCATGTTGATGTAGCTGAGAGAAGCTCCGGTTGAAAGACAGTGATACTGTCGGCGAGTTCTGCTTTTCTTGATTGCTCTGAACACAAGTGGAAGAAGACCCTCCATTTATGAGCTGCTAGTAGTTCTAAAGAAGCACTAAAAAGGAGATTTTGCAGAGTGATTTCAATCAAAATGCAAGATTTGGAGCAGTTGGCGTTTTCGGGGTTAGGTGGAATTTGATATTATTTGCAACAAGTGGAAGGAGGCGCAAATGTTTTGACACTTGGAGGAAGCTGCTCGAGTTCGTCCACGAATTTGACTTTTGTGCCCTGTTTAAAGTCGCGGACAGATAAGCAGCCAAAATCGTTTTCTATTCACGGACACCACCCGCATATGCTTTGCCTCCTTCTCATGTTACATTAAATTATATTATGTTATAAGTACGTGTTAAAAATTTGAAACAGTAGACACTCGCAAATAATTTTATTATGATCTGTGAGAGAAACAGTCTGCTGAAGAAACAGAAGAAAAGGATTGGAATTTACTATGATAACCTGCTAGTAACAGACTAGGTCATCATGGAGGCCAATTAGCATCCTGAGATATTTTAATTTAGTTCAGGGAGATGATTTAGAATAGACTCCGTTGGAGGTTTCGCTTTCTAAACAGTTCAATATAATAAAGAGAATGAACAATTCAAAGGACAAAAGGACTTGGCAAATTTATAGCGCTTAAATGGATTTGACTTGAATCCATTCCTTGAACCCTAAGGAAATCTAACACCCACTTGGTGGATCATGAAGCTGCGGTGACTAAGACATTAATTTGCAGTCTATATACCAACTTATACCAAGTTATGCAGCGCTTGTTACTTGTTAGGATTCCAGTTTCCTACAAAGCTCCTAGACAGCCATAAGCCTCTCAGCAATAGAAGAGTGACTATAATTGGGAAGACCAGCCAATGGCAGCACGCAAACAAGGTTGGTAAACAATAGAAGGTCGAAAATTTTTTAGTGGCCAATTAGTCGGTACGCCTATTCAACGTTTCTCTTAAATTCCTATAATGATTCTTCATATATGGTGGGACACGATTCTCTCACTTATTGTCGTCGGTTTCCAATGATTAGTACAAATGTCCAACAGCACTTGATGGAAGACGCGTTGCCTTTTCCACCAATATCCGTAAGCATAATTATTGTAATTCATATGCAAAGAAATTGTTACGTGTGGAGAGACATCTGGTTTTGCTAATCTACTGCACCTCTGACATAGTGAAGCGTGAATCCCTCCATGCAACATCCGAATGGGCCATTTGGTTGGTGTTGCAAAAGTACCCCATTAGAGAGAAACCCAGGAGCAGATCGATCGAGCAGTAAATTTCTCATCACATCAAATTTTCACCTCTTATTATTGTTAGGGCTCCTCATACCTGAGTGATGTCGCATAAAAATGTTTATTCATGTTAGGAAGTGTTTGGCAATCCTTAAAAAATATTTTTTCACAAAACAAGACAAATTCCTTTACATATTTATTTCGTAAACTGTAAAAACACTTTTAAAACCATAATTTGGTTTCTATTCAAACACTTTTAGTCATACTTTCATATGACAACAGAAGAAATCCACTTCCACTTTTACCCAAAAAGGGGGGAAATCCAATTCCACTAGCGTAAAAATAAAGATAAACAATTGTACAAGCACGTCCTGATTTACACTCCTTAAGCATATCCATATCTCAAAATGCAAAAGTGAATTATGAAAACAAACTGCTATTGAATCGACCTAAGTTCGTTCTACCAAGCACAAAACTTATCAAGCAATGATCCTGATAGCCGCACGTTTCAACCATCCATATTCAACCAATGGTGTTAAGTCTCTCGCCTTGGCCTCCTTCGGGGAGCAGCAGATGTTTCCTCCCTGTCTTCGTCCTCTTCTCTCTCAGCACTGCCTTGATTATTGGAAGTTTCTGCCGGTTGCTCGTTTGTCCTCTCAACTCTTGCCTGCAAAAAGATTACAAATTGGTCAGAAGACAAATTTGAACAAAACTTCCCGCAAAGGAACATAGATGATAGAACATGAGAACCAGATATTTTAACAGGCAAAAAAGAAAATCAAAGGAGTTTAGCTACTCACAGGCCTCTTCCCTCCAAATATAATCTTGAAGAAAATTGTCAAGACGACTACTATAATGGATGCAAGAATTCCAATCGTTAGATTGGGTTGCTTCTCTGCCTTTTCAACCAGATCCTGCGGGGAAAATTAAGTTTAGGGGCACATACCACAAGGTGAAACGTAATGAATTCCGAATTGAAAAAATATCAAAGATGATTACTTACAAATATCTTAAGCTTGTAGGAACTGAGAAAGGGAATGTCCGCAATCTTGTATAAGAGCTCAAAAACCTTCTTCTGCAACATTGAAATTTCAATGAGCGTGAGAGGGCGAAAAAGCAAAATCTATGTGTCCGTGCATATGAAAGTGAGAGGGGGAGGTTAATAAAAATTACGGAAGAGACCAAGGAAAAGAATACTGCCAATTGCGTTTTACCTGGTAAGCTGCAAGGCCACCTGCTTCGGGAGCCAACTCTTCAGCCTTTTGTTTCTCTTTCTCAACAGTAAATTTAGGCTTCCATGTAGTCTCCCGATAAGACTCTGCAATACTATCGTCTTTGGCTATCAAAATATTGTCGAAGAGGATGCCATCTTGCATTGTCCAAATCTCAATGCCAATAGCAGCAATAGGCTCAAAATCAGGTTTCTCAAGTTGGAAGTAGTCTGGATTAGGAATGTCCCGAGGCTTCCATATACCCTTGTAATTGGGGTTCTCAATGAGGGGAGCATGCCATTTTCCCTTGTAAGCTGGATTCCTCTTCATTGGTCTCTTCCACTCACCACAACCAGGGGCTGCTTCACACTTTGGGTTATCAATTTTAGGGGCTTCCCACTCACCATCCTCCTCGTCATCCCAATCTTCTGGTTTAGTTGCATCTGGGTCATCTATCTCCTCAGGCTCATCATCTAACCATCCTTCAGGCTTCTCAGCTTCTTCATCTTCAATTTCCATGGGTGCATCCTCATCCCAGTCATCTGGCTTCACAGCATTTGGGTCTGGAATTTTGGGTCTCTCATCCCAGTCCTCGGGTTTCTTATCATCAGGATCAGGGATTGTCTTGGGAGGGATAAGTGGAGGCTCAAAATCATCTGAAGATAAGAAATTTGCCTTTTTCTTCTCCTCCCCATCAATCAAAATTCGCAACTCATTGTCAGTCTTCAAAATAGCAGTGTATACATGAGATAGTTTGTCAGATGGGACAGATGGGGGAAACTTCAGATGATGTTCTACATACTCCCCGCTCTTGGGATTCTTATGCTTGAAAATAAAGTGCACCTTGTTTGTGGCCCCACATTTGTCAGGACCGAACATGATAGAATATGGAGATTCATTGTCAAATTCCTTGGGTTTCCATCCGACCTCCTGTGGTCGGAGATACTTCAAATATGCACCGCCACATTCAAGGCCATTCTGTAGACGAGTCTCAAACTGGAGAACAACTGTTCCATCCTTAAGACTTACAGGCTCAAGTTCTTTGACTATGGCGTATTTCTTGGCCTTCTCACTGACAAGAAGTCCATAATCATCATGCCCTTCACTCTTCTCATGCTTCCACACACCTGAAAAACATTACAAATCAGAATCTTCTTCCCCCTTAAAATTTTGGAGCAGGTATCGAATGAAACTCCACTATCAGAGAAAGATATAAAAATAAAATCGTTGAAAGAATAGATGGAAGAATATTTATTAAACTCAGAATGAAATGCCATCTTATGGCCTTATGGGTATGGGTAATCCGTAGACGCACAAATATTTGAAGAGAATTCCAAAATGCGATGCCAATGAGGAACTCATAATAGAGATAGTAGTACATGTCAGCGGCCTATTGTTGCAGATTTATTGCAATCCTTCAGTGCTCACTATTTCCCCTAAAAAATTTATATGCCCACAAACATTCATCCTTTTGCTTGCCTAGGCAAAGAAACTACAAACATTGAAGAAGTTTACCTTTCTATTTGGTTTTAGTACTCCCAATTTTCTCTCAAAAGTTCAGATTTTGCCAAGAAAATTTCCTAAAAACTATTTTCAATCGCAGCTGCAAGCTTTCTCAGTATCCCAGAGTAGTATTTTGGAGTGGGATGTAAGTCAAGTGATGTGACTACACAAGTCGAGAATGGTTAATCCGTAATAACTGATTTACGGCACGCACCATCAATAGGATCAATTTTCTATATCAACGAAGACAGGAAGAAGAGAGTTAAGTGAAAAATAAATTTTACTCGTTTCATCCCTTCAGGAGCTGTTGGCGACCAAACAGCAATAAGGAATAACCACCATTTTCACCGATCTCCGACGACAATAAAAGATAGAACAATATATTTACCTTTGTAGTCATCCTTCTCGGACACAATCCAACGGCCTTCAAAATCTTCGTCAAATGACTCGTAGAAGATCTAAATGAAATTCAAATCAAACAAATTTTTAAAAAATAGAGATCCAATAGAGAACGAGACAAAAATTAATTAAACTAGGAAAGGACCAGAAGGAGCCAAATTACCGCATCATCGTGATCATCAGAAGTGCAAAGCATGTGAAACGAAGAACAAGCAATTAACAGGAGAAGTAAAGAGAGCCCCAAAGGGATCGGTTTTCGTTCTCCCATGGCTTCCGCTTCCTCAGTGACTCTCCACAGTGAAACCCTAATAGACTAAAAATGCGAGTGAGAGGAAGAAAATTGGGCTTGTAAATAAAACCCTGTTCCAAGGTAAATATAATTCTAGATGAAAAATGTTAGCTATTAAACCGTGAAATCATTTGTTTGTTCTCCTTTTTATAATAGTTCTCCGCGAGACTTCCTTGTCGCTGTTCCAACCAATGCATTTTGCGTTCTGGTGCCACGTAAATATGTCCAATCGCTAGTTGCCACGTATTTATCTTGCGTCATTCCCCCGTTCGCCTTTTTTTGTTTTTTGCCAGATGTTTGCTTTTTTTAAGGGATAAGAGCATTTTCTTTTCAAAATTTAGCCGTGGAAAATACTTGTATTGCAAGTTTTCCAATTTTTCAAGAGTATTTTAGGAAAAATATTTTATTTGATCCATAAGTTATTTGATTTTTGGTTGTGTGTGTGTGCGTAAAGAATAAGATATTAAATTAGGCTAAAATATTTCTGCATTTTGCATGTAAAGGATAGACGTTGATTCATTGCAAATATTGCAGGCATGCAAAAGCTCAATCACTTGATTAGCAGCCGAATACATAGGAAGAACTATAAGTGAGATGTATTCAAGTTACAGCTTCAAATTACCATGCAACGCAACTACGTATTTGCAGGATGGAGATTCAAAGAACAACCATATCCATTCAAGATTCATACGGCAGGATAGAGAATTCCAAGTCCGGAACAACAGGCACAGACATATTTGCAGGGACAGAGCTTCCATCGGATCAGTTTAAAGATGTCATGCTGTAAGCCGGACGAGCTCATGGTCGTCGTTCAATCTAATCAAACTGAAGGCAGTGATTTTCTTGGCCTTCTTATTGGCACTCAACAATCTCCTAATCTTGACCACATCATCCCATTGCTGTGTGTGGGCATAAATATTGGCCATAATGGAATAAACCCCACCGTCCTCTGGTTTTATCTCCATCACTTGTTGGGCTGCTTTCTTTGCGATCTCAAGGTTCCCATGTGTCCTACATCCTCCAAGCAACCCTCCCCACACGAAAATATCCCCATCATATGGCATTCCTCTTATAAGCTCCATCGCTTCTCCAATCAAACCTGCCCGCCCCAACATGTCCACCATGCAACCATAATGTTTCAGCTCCGGAGGAATCCCATAAACAGGTTCCATTTCATTTAAGAGTTTTCGAGCTTCATGGACCAGACCAGCGTGGCTACATCCCATTAAAACTGCTAAGAAGCTCACTTCGTCAGGTTGGATTCCAGATCCAATCATTCTAGAAAAGTAGTCTAGCAAAACCGAACCCTTGCCGTGCATCGCAAGACCGGCAAACATTGCATTCCACGTAAACACATTTTTATCAGTGCTTGAATCGAATATATCTATTGCAGTCTCAAGACATCCGCACTTGGCATAAAAATCCACCAAAGCAGTGGTCAAAAAGGAAGAAACATGAATGCCATTTCGGGTGATGTGCTCGTGGATAATTTTCCCCTGTTCTAATTCCCCCAGCTGAGCACAAGCAGAAAGAACGGAGACCAGTGCGATGTTGTCTGGGCGAAGTTCTAAAGCAAGAAGCTGATTGAAGAGTTCGATGGCTTCACTGCACAAATTGGCCTGGGTATAACCAGCTATCATAGTGCCCCAAGAAACAGCATCACGTACGGGCATTTGGTCAAACATCTCACGTGCTCGCGTAATCTGCCGAGCCTTGACAAACCCATCAATCATGGTATTGTAAGAGACAACATCCCTGTAAGGACTTTCGGCGAACATTTGGTAGGCATCGTCGACACGGTCGTGGACAGAGTAAACACGTACAAGAGAATTCAGTACGAACAAATGGGCGACGAACCCGAACTTGAAAGCTTGTGAATGAACTGATTGTGAGAGGGCAAGAACACGGAGTTGAGCGCAGGCTTTGAGGACAAATGGGAAGGTGTGGAAGTCAGGGGAAACAGAGAGACGGCGCAACAGGGTAAATATGTGGAGGGCGCAGAGAGGCGTGGAAAGAAGAGTGTGAACTCGAATGAGGTTATTATACGAGAATGTTAATGGGTTTGGAATGGAACGGAAAACAGAGAGTGCATAGCTCGATGGGTTGAAAGTGGCGGATTTGGCCAAGTTAGTGGGTATGAGGATGGAAGCAAGGGTGTGGAGAATGGTATTCAAGAAAGGTGAAGGATGAAGGGAGAGGAGACCGGAAGTAATTGAATAACCATGAAGCTGATGCAGTTGTTTGATGAATTTGCATCTCTTTATCCCATTTAAGAGATTCATGTAACCCACACCTTTGCTTCAGTGACGAATCAGCAGGAGATATAATACTTCGGACGAGCATATGTATGGGACTCGTACTTTCACCATGCTCGTCGGCAGAATCCGCCTCTTTTTATAGGTTGGGACGAAAACGAAACAAGAAAAACTAAAAACAAAAATCGTGAACGGCAGGATTCGAACCTGCGCGGGCAGAGCCCACATGAATTCTAGTCATGCCCGATAACCACTCCGGCACGTCCACCTCATTGATGTGCTTTCCGCATCTTTTTAACTGGTAATAAGGCATTCTTACTATGGTAACGGTCTAACGGAATCGACTAATGCCCAAAACATATGTAAGCTCCGGCCCACGAAAACGAAGCAAGCAAACGGTATAGAAGCCCAAGAAGCCACTTGTGCCCGCGGCGGGAAGCTGCTCCTTGGCGGGTGGCGGCGGCCTGAGGTATAAACTCAGACGTCTCATACAACGTCGGGAGGTAAAATTTGGCTGAAAACCACATCCCCCAGCGGTTCCACGTGACTCCAAACAGTGAGCGAGCTCGATATCCGAAGCTTTGGTGATAGGACACGAGAAGGATATGGGAAACAAAGAGAGAGCGAAGGAGCGAAGAGAAAAGAGGATGCAAGAGATATCGATTCTCAGGACTATGCCCTATTCTGATCACCAGAGGTTGGATTATTCGCTCCTTTAATCTATTTCATCTTAAAAGGAACTTAATTTTAAAGTTTTCTCGCCGTTGGATTTATGACCGCCCGATGCCGAAAACCAACATTTGCTGGATTCTAACATCCCAAAAATCTACCAACTACGCACACTCTATTAGAGCTGACAGGAAAAAGAGGCATTACGAGTTTAAGAGTGGTCAAATTTATATGGCACTGAAACTTGTAAGGATAGGAGCTTGCTACTTGGCAAAACCAGAAAAGGAAAAAGTTTCGGGTGTATAAAATTTATTTGTCTTTTAATCGATTAAATAATAAGTATCTGGACTAAATGCAGAAGACTGAATGTCTTTCTAATTGGATAATTGAATTCGACCTGAGAATAATCGCACTAGGCAGGCATGTAAATACGGCTATATGTATTTTTTTTTAACCGTGATTGCTGTTTACACCTACAGTAATTCAGAATCTTTCCCGCCCTTCATGGCATTAGATTTTTTTTCCCTCCCTTTAATTTGCATAATCGCAGGTGGTGGTCTAAGGAAACAGTTGCCGTGGTTACTGGTGGAAACAGAGGCATTGGATTTGAGATTTGTAGACAACTAGCTGGACACGGATTGACTGTTATATTAACATCAAGGGATGCGAGTGCTGGTTGTGAGGCAGCTAAGGTCTTGCAAGAAGGTGGTCTTAGCGTAGTTTCACATCAACTGGATGTACTAGATTCTTCATCCGTCTACCATTTTGCTGAGTGGTTACAGAAAAATTATGCTGGTTTGGATATTCTGGTTAGTTTCAAAGATTTTTTTTCCTTTTTCTTTTTCTTTTTATATATAACCTGGTTTCAACTCAAGGGCTGACCAACTGACCGATATTGGGATCTTCATAATTGTTCGTAAATTCTAATTGCTTCTAGTTTATCTTCTCAATGTTCGCTGCCTTATATATGTTCGTTTACTTTAAATTTATATTAATACTTTCTGGCCATGAAATTCTACTCAAATACAACAAATTTTAGCAGGAACTAGGAAGTAAAAGAGGCCCTCGATTTATGTTTCTAAACAATGTTATTCTCTGCAGGTAAACAATGCAGGAGTTAATTTCAATCTTGGGTTTGATAACTCTGTTGAAAATGCCCTTAAGGTTATTAAAACAAATTATTATGGCGTTAAGATAATGATTGAAACTATGATTCCGTTGATGAAGCCTTCCACTAAAGGTGCTCGTATTGTTAATGTGAGCTCGCGTCTTGGTAGGCTAAATGGTAGACGCAATGTAAGTGAAAATTCTTTATGTTACTTCCTGAAGATACATCTTTTCTGTGTTATATAGTATACCAACATATATGCATATGTATGTTGTGTGTGTGCGCGCGCGCGCGCGAACAATGGCAAAGCAATCTTTTTTCTTGTGATATATCCTGAAGCGAAGTTGATCTTCATCTTTAGTTCCTTCTTTTGTTTACACTTTCTTCTGGTAAATTTGCTATTTTCTTGTCTGCCTTCATATTCAGAATTTGCAATTATTGGGACTAAATTAGAACATGTCACCGCTACAGAGATATCCGTGTTCTTTGTATGTTAAATTCCTTAAATTTCTTTATTCTTAGTCTACTAATATTACTTGAAACTTTCAACAAGGTTAAGTTAGAACCTGAAAGTGTTAGAGAATAGAGAAGCATTAAGCTTTATGACGCCTATCAGAATTCCTGTGGTCTCTCCTGTACTTCATTTTCATTTTCCCTTGACTGATATGTTAGACTGAAAAATTCATATAATTATACAGCCTTTCGTTTTGTTTCGCATTTATTCTGCCATTTAAATATGTGATGTGTGCCTTCTGGCGATATCTTCTTGTTAGCTGCTTTAAATTACAGTAGGGCCATTGGTTCCTTATGCAACTTGTCATAGGTCGTAGCCAAAAGAAAAAAAGACTGATTTTTAGCTGCTTGAGCGACAGAGAATCGGCGATGTAGCCTTGAGGGAGCAACTAGATGACGAGGAATCCTTTTCAGAGGAACTGGTTGACAGGACTGTGTCCACTTTCCTACATCAAGTAGAAGATGGAACATGGACATCAAATGGGTGGCCTCAAACCTTCACTGACTACTCTGTGTCAAAACTTGCAGTTAATGCTTATACCAGACTTATGGCAAGAAAGCTTTGTGAGCGACCCCAGGGTGAGAGGATTTACATCAATTGCTATTGCCCTGGGTGGGTGAAGACTGCTCTTACGGGTTATGCAGGAAATATCACTGCTGATGAAGGAGCTGATACTGGAGTATGGCTTGCCCTTCTTCCTGACCAACCTGTATCTGGGAAATTCTTTGCAGAAAGGCGGGAGATTAAATTTTAAGCCATTTGGATTTTGAGATGTATTGTGTATATGTATGAAGGGCAGCTATCACCTTTTGGGATGGAGAAGAAGTCGACTTGCTTGATCAGTCCATGTAAAACCATGTTTGAAGTCAACCTGATGTTTCGCTGATGCTTGAGGAATGAGGGCCTTGTCTATTTCCCCACGAGGTTACTATTTCCTAGTGCTAATAGTTAATATCATTTCAGTCTTTTAATCCTCGTAGCAGTGGGTTATAAATTGTGCGCGCGCGCGTGTTTTTTTACCCCCAACAGATAAACTGTATTCATAAAAAATAAATAATATTCGAGTTTATATTTTTTTTCAAAACAAAAAAATTAAACCATCGAACTGAAAAAAAATGCTCCATCTTATCCCATTTATATGTTACTCTGAACATTATTTATAACACATTATCAATATTTTAAAAGCTGAATATTGAACCTGCAAGCCTAGTGGATTGTGGTTTTTCTGCTGAATCAGTAATGTAAGAATTAAATAAAAAATATTATATATGTGTATAACACATATATAAGAAATAAAATGTTAAATAAATTTAAAAATAAACACGTATAGACAGTAACAAACATATTTCATAAAAGAAATTATAATACAATTTAAAAGATAATTAAAAGTAATAACTATAAATAAATATTTAATAAAATAATAATGAAACTTAAAAAAAAAAAAGAGAAAAAAATTAAGAAGGCCAAGCAATTTGCACCTTATTCACCATTTTTTTAGCCATTTTAAAATATAGGGAGTGAAAATTGTGAGCTATTTACATGATATTTATATTATAATAATAATTTATATAATTCTCTTACTGATTAAGTGATTAAAGATAGAAGGCACAGGGCGCACGCACGGCTGCGAATGCGAAGCTTTTTCTTTTATCAGTTCGTTCCATTTTTGCCCTTCATACGAAAAATTGATGAGGATTAAAACTTTATTGTAGCCCAAAAAAGAGAGCCTATTTACTCGAACCTTGCATTGAAAATGAGAGTAGGAACTAAGATTGGGATTAACAAAATTTATTAAAAGAGTTTTTAGAACGAAAAATTACTTACTATATTAAATTGAACAAACCTATATATGTAAAATTAAAAAATATTATGGAAGGAGATAGTATTCCCCATTCAATCTTCATGGATTACTTAACCCATATAATAAGTAATTATTTATACTAAATATTTTTTTTAATTACAATATCCGTTCTCATTCTAGAAAAAGTAATTAACGGTTTTCAAGTTTCAAGTAATGAAACTAAGGGTATGTTTGGATTAGTGTTGCGCAAAACTAATTTCTAGTTCAACTGACTTTTGTAACTGAAATTAGAGTAAAAGTCAATTAGGGTATGTTTGAATAGGTGCTTTTAAAAGTTAGTTAAAAAAGTTAAAAATTGTTTGGATTATTAATAAAAAAGTTAGTTTAATTGTAAAATGCCTAAAAATGATATGGACTTTATTGAATAGTAGTATTTGAAATTTTAAGTTTTTAATGTGATAATAATTTAAAAAATACATAAAATTATTATGATAAAATATAAATAGTGTATTTGTGAAATTATAAAATAAAAATATTTGTTATGAAGAAAAATTTGAAAACACATTATAGATAATTAATTAAATATACATAATAGACAAACATAAATATAAATTAAAATTTATTTGGTCTAAATAAAAGCTTATTATGCTAACAAAGGAGATGAGACAGAGAAAAAAAATGTGCAGGTAAATCTGGGATACTCATTTTTAATAATTACCGTTTGAAACTGCAGTTTGAAAAGTTAGATTTTTTTCCGTTGAGTCTAACTAAGATTGAAAGCTAAAAGTTGGTTGGAAAAGTTAACCCAGCCAAACAACAATTTTTGTCCAACTTAATTTGTAACTTCAGTTTCACATATTTCAAAACACAATTATAGTTTCAAACTGCAATTTAAACATGTCCTAAGACGGCCGAGGATGGTATTCTGCCACCATGTCCTTGTTTTGTGCTTCTGTCATGTTGTTGCGTGTCAGCTATCATCGATCTCCATTTTCCCACCATCGTCAAAGATAAAGAGGTAGAATCGGTGATTTCTGATATTCTTTCTTTCCTCTTTTCCCCCTCGTTCTAAATCTAATCCCTGTTTTCTTTCTCTTCTTTGGGGGTGTTTGGATAGAAACCAAACCATAGTTTCAGAAGTGCTTTTACGGATTACGAAGTAAATATGTGGAGGAGGTTATCTCGTTTTGCGGAAAAGTGCTTCTGAAACCTAGGTTTTGGTTTTGCCAAACACCCCCTAGTTATTATTCCCGCGATATCAGGAAGGACGTGTACATGCAAGGTGCCACGTGGCCTCTTCTCCGTGTCACGCTGTCAAACATCGGATTAATCCAACGCTCTAAAGCCTCCCACAGCGCGAAAAGACCCGGCGCTCCTAGCCCCCGTGGCTGAAGAAGGGACACGACAGTCGTCGCCCTGCCTCGTCTGTGCGTGGTTTCCATTCCAACTAGCAAAGCAAGAATTGTGGCCAAATACCTAAACTTAGCCCCTAAAGGGCGGAATCCCTTCACTTCTCTTTTGGTTGGTGATTAATTTGTTTGTAACAGCGGTGCAATTTAAATTCTTGGGTTTAGGTTCTGCAGAAACCACAATCTGATTGTAATGGCGAATTTGCGAAGACTTGTAATTAACGTTTCCAGGGTGCTCAATTATGCGTCTACGCCGAGCTCTATCCAACCTACTTCAAATCCCCTTCTCAGGTTCTCCTTAAACCATAAATTTCTCCTGTGAATTTGAACTCTGATTGGTGTTTCTTTTTTAATTTTTTTCTCTTATGGAAGTGGGGGTTATTGTTTTTTTAGGCCTTCCTATGGATATGCTTTGTCTTCTCGATTCACTTCCCAGAGTAACGACGCTCAATCGCTTGCTATAGACCTGTCCAACGAAGAAAGCAAAAGGCGCTTGTTTAATAGGTTCCATTCTGGAATCTCTGTGTCTTCTCCTCATTTCTCCTCTCTTCTATTGAATACGTTCCTCCATTTTATTTTATTTTTGTAATGATAGACTTGACATGTTGATTTACTTCATGTTTCAATTTATGTGTAGATTATTGTACAGAAGCAAGCAACGAGGGTTCCTGGAGCTGGACTTGGTCCTCGGCAAATGGGTGGAGGAGAATATCCATTCCTTGGATGAAAATCGGCTTAAATCTCTGATTCATGTTCTGGACATGGTATTTTCTGAGTCATCCTTATATTTTTGATTAATAAGATCACGGAAGAATTCATTTCGCTCTATCTGCCCTAAGTGTTATATTCTTAGGAATCAAGTGCTTTCCAATATCTTCCGTAGCTCTTGTTTGTGTCTCTGTCTCTTTGAATGAATGCATGCCTGCAAGAGATTTAATTTTACTACTTAGTATTATAATCCCCTTCACGGACTATCTTTCTGCCACTTATATCTAGTCAAACATCATCAAGGTAAGATAGAGTAGTTCAAGTCTGGAATCTGATTTGATTTGGGAAGAGAATCCTAACTTATAGTTAATCAGGACCAGAAAAGAAATTTTTCAAGTCAAAAGCTAGAGGGCGTTTGGTTCTTTAGGTCTTTAGAACATGATATTTGGAGCGGTAGCAATGCTTCTCTGAAAACTCAAAAACCTTAACACCTGTGAGTCCGTGGCATTTCAAACATCTAATTGCTGGACTGCAGGAGAATCCGGATTTATGGAAATGGGTATCCGGGCAGGAGCAACCCCCTGAAGCAGTCACCTCAAATCCGGTGAGTTTCTTGTTATCAGTTCAATGATGAAGTTCCAATTCACATTTTCCTCCCCGTGTTTTTTCTTCGGGGTTAAAATTCTCACACGAACCATCTGTTGCCTTGTAGGTCTTTGCTGCTGTGCGGGACGGAGTCAAGAAGAACCTTGATAGCCATGCCGCCCCTGAAACAAGAGCAACGCCTGGCCAACCATGGGTAAGAGGTTGGGATGATATCAAGAAAGGTCGGGATGGTCCTGTTGCTGGGAATCAGTAGCTCCTTCTCGATGGTTTGGGGTTGTCTCTTTGTAAAAGCAAAAAAAGGATTGAATAAAATCTGGTCGGCCATTATTGTTGTGTTTATGAAGGGCTGAGTAACTGCAATTTCAAGGCTTGTATAAGCTGCTTGAGACATGAAAATACTCCTTTGGCCTGACTGTTATCCTCGGTGTTCTCTGTGTTAAACTTGTTTTCTTTTCTATGTTTTTTTTTTTTTTGGGAATAAAGTGCTGGATTCTATCATTCTTAACTCAAAGGGAGATACCTACAAGAAACAAAACAGAAGAAAGAGACGAGACTTGACTTCCCTCATGCTTGATTCTTGATTTCTCTTCTACCAGAGGGAATTTAAGTCATTTTTTGAATGATGTGGTTGGTAGGGGTGAACCTGCCATGGTTCTCCCTTGATAAACCGTGTGGTTTGCAGTTCAATTGATACCAAACGCTGCTTAAGGAATGGATGTTTGAGTGTGCGAGCTATTATACACCAAAAAAAAAAATTACAAATAAAGACTCAATATGTAAAATTGCGATTTGAGATTTTTAATTTGAAAAATAACAAATAAAGATTAGGTCCTATTTTTACAAATGTGAAATGTGAGTGAAATGTCTAAATTGTCACTCAGTCAAATTGTGATTTAGTTTACTGAAATTGTCATTTGTTAAAGTAAATTTATCATTTCTCATAGTCAACTCGTCATTTGGTACACCTTTAGTCAAGTGTAATTTGGTCCACTCAAATTGTCATTCATTAAAGTAAATTTGTCATTTCTCATAGTCAACTTGTCACTTAACTAAGAGACATTTTAAACATTTTATTACGATTTTATATTTGAAAAAGGAGGATCCGGTGTTTATTTGTTAAATTGAATTATGATTGCCGTGAGTCAATATTAGCATCAAAGCATGGAAGCATTTTTGTTCAAGGTTCCTTCAACAGCGAATGGACCGCATACAATTGGTGCCTTGAACAGTAATTCATCTTGTTCGGGTTGAATGTTCACTCATTTAATATTTTAAAAATTTTAAATATATTAATTCACTTCGTATATTCGTGCTGACATTTCTAAATCATGAATATTCGGTTATAAGTCCCACAAATTAATCTGGAATTGGTCAATTAGAAGTCTCATAAATAATATAACTACAATTTAGTTAGTGAATTATATTTCATCACTCAAGAAAATTATATAAGTTAACTATATAGATTAAAATCTTTAATTACATATCTTGCAAATTATTAATTTATTGATTCTTATAATACAAGGCGTATTAAAATCATAATGAATATATCATATTCTAAATAAATGAAATTTTTTATCTAAGTGGTATGTTTTCTTCTCTTTTATTTCTTCTTATATTTTCAATAAGTAGAACGCTGTTTAGTTAATTATGGTGACATGCAAAAAAATAAATAAGTACTTCATCAAAAAAATAAATAAGTAAAATGTTAAAATTGCAAAAATTATAGCTGAATAAATCAGAATCCTGCCGCGCTGATGAGTAAAATACACGTCTTACATTCGTAATAAATTTTGTTGATTTTATTTCAGACTAATGCTGGTTAACCCAATTGACGGCGGGGGAGTGATCTCACAAAAAGTTGAGGTCTGTGCCTCTATCTCGGGATGATGATGATGATGAGCCTTTCTCAGGCCAATGAAGATTGTCGCAGCAGCTAGGCTGCCATTTCCCCCTTATGTGTCTACTCCTGTAACTTTAATTTGACGAGTTCCTTTGTTTTCTTCTTAAACCGTCTTCTGCTTCACCTGCAAAGTTTCTAGATTCTTTTTGTACGATGATTGATGTCTTAAGAATGGCTGGATTTAGATGATTCCTCAGTTTCGCGGATTATTATTTGTATAGTAAACAGTTTACATGGGTAAGGAGTCGGATTCGAACGATTCCAATGGATGGAACCGTGCTCGGGGGCTGGTGGTGAAGACTCTAGTACTCCTTGGAGGTGCACTTCTGGTGAAGCGACTAAGTAAGTCTACCACACGTTGGGACCATGCTCGTATTGTCTCTCAGTCCCTCGCCGGCGAAAAGGTGAATCGTCTACTCATATTTGCATTCTTTACTGCTCCTTGTTGCTTGTTGTGCGTGTATATGTGTGTGCTAGATGATCCTTTTCTCTATGTTTGTGCTTAATTCTTCAAAACTTTTCGGTGTAGTATTCAAAAGAGCAAGCCTCCAGAGACCCGGATAATTATTTCAATATTAGGTATGTTAATTCATTCTTTTCAGTTTCTGATTGGCACTGTTACCATTATCTGTACTATAGCAGCTTCTGTTTTGCCTATTTTATTCCCAGACGTTTCAGATTATAATTAATATCAGTACCTAATGCCTATACATTTCACCGTTTTCGAAGTTGCATTGCCTGGAACCATAATTTCTTAACGATTCCCTCTGGAAATTTTTCAGTTTGAGAAGGGGAAAAGGGAGGGAGTGATGACCGAATTTATTTTCTTCATTTGTTTTTGGAGAGGGAAGCCACTCATAAATGCATCATTTTTATCTATAATTTTCGCAGAATGCTCACGTGCCCTGCGGCAGATCTAGTGAATGGTTCAAATGTCCTGTATTTTGAACAGGTGAATATAATACGAGTATACTAGCATCTTCATTGTGAATAATTTTTCCGTCTTGTAGATCTCAATCTCATAAGTTGCTCATGAATATTTTTTCTTTGTGCTGATAGGCATTTTGGAGGACTCCACAAAAGCCCTTTCGACAGGTAGTACACATGTCTTGTGAGTTGTGAGAATTGATGTTCAAATTTATTTCGTATGTTTCTTAATACTCAAAATCTGAACATGAACCGGTGGCCCAGAAAAGGTGGGAAAAAGAAAAAGAAAAGAAAAACCTGAACATGCGCAAGACTACTCCACAATGTTGACTTTCTGGGAATTTTGCCACACGCACCTTACTATTTTGGTTTTTCTGATGATGCATGGTCTAAATTATCTTCTATCATCTTCATGCAGAGGTTTTTAATGGTGAAACCTTGTCCAAAAGAGTTGAAATGCGATGTTGAGGTTTGTGTGCGACCAGTTTTATGATGTCCTTTTTGTGGTTCTTTTAGCTATTTGCATTTATGCATGGAACTTGGTATGGCTGCTATTATATGGTTATACGGTGCTCTCTCCCTCTCATTTAATAATTATGAGGAGTTTATTCTGTGAAATTTAGTTAAATTTTGCTGCGTCATGGTTGAGAATTGTGATTTAGATTATGTAATTTATGCTGTCTTTGCTTTCTAACATCTCTAACTTCATAAAATAACAAGGAGGACTTCTTTAAAGGGAACGACTCTTTATTTTTCTATGGAATAAATATTTGAAGAGTATGTGTTCTCATGCCTTTCTTCCCTCCTCCCTTCTTTGGACCATTTATGCTCCCTTACCTTGAGGAATGCATCTCCTCTGAACTTTTTGGACTTTTGAATTTGTTTCTGATTTCTATGGCAACCAAAAGTAAGTGGTCTAAGATGTAACTAGGTTTTGTTGAACTTCTGATAGAGGAAGCTGCATACCTCATCTTTAGAAGATTACTGTTCTCTCATTCCTGTTACTGATTAATGGACATTATATGTTATTTGAATTAGTGCCTGACTGCTAGCTTCGATTTTCTGTAGTTAAGTACATATGCCATTAGAGACATGGAGGAGTACAAGAACTTTTGTGATCGCCCAAAGGATCAGCGTCCACAGCAAGAAGAAGTCATTGGGGTAAGTATTCAATCATGTCTATAAGAGGATACAGTTTAAGGGCATAAGGCTATATAAATTTTTCTGAACCTTAGCTAGTTTTATCTGATTTTCAGCAATACAGTCTATATCAATAAAAAGAAAAAAAATTTACGAGATATGATATACTGTCAAAAGATTTTAAAAAAAAATCCTAGAATTTAAATTATAAAATAAAAATAAGTATCAAGTATGTTATGGAAGTGATTTTAAATGTGGATGGTATCTTTAAACTGTATAAGCAATTGAGCATGGTTGTTTTCTGAGTAAGTGTGCCGTGGTTTGCAGGACATTGCAGAGCATTTGACAACAATACATCTGAAGCGCTGTCCGCGTGGAAAACGCTGCTTATATGAAGGTTCAACCCCTCCTGGCGGGTTTCCTAATTCATGGGTAATTTGTAGTTAAACTATTGCCTTATAGAAATCATCCCCTCCCCATCCCGAGTCTTATGTGCTGCTTTTCTTTGTCCAAGATGGTCTCATGATGGTTTGTTGAACGTGGATTTAATATCATCAATATAGAATATAAAGTTAAAAATCCTTGGTAATGTGCCAGCTTTGTTGAACTTGGATTTTGAATTTTTTTGCTTGTCTTTTTTCTCTCAATTGGTTTTCTATCCTTTTGTTCTCAAGATTCAAACTCCCTTTCCTTTGGAGGGGATTATTCTATTCTAATTCTGTATAATATCTTGTCCTTTTTGTTGCAGAATGGAGCATCCTACTGTACTACCGAACTCACAGTCATGAAAAATAAGGAGATACAAACCTGGGATAGGGGTTATGATGACAATGGAAATCAAGTTAGTTTTGTACCTAATTCTGCATTTTTTTTTTAGCTAGTTTGTCGAAATGGGTCACAGGAATGGCTACTTGTAAATAGGCATTTATCTGAGGGAAAAAGATTCAACATTATTTATTTTTGTGCCTGATTGCAGGTTTGGGGGCCGAAGGAAGGACCTTATGAGTTCAAGCCCGCACCAACCTCCAGTTTCAACGATATGTTTTCTCCCTTGAACTTCCCCCCTCCACCATCCATGGAGAGAAGAATAGAGGGTTCATTTATCTTGCAAGAATGAAGAGAAAAATTCATCATGAATTTATCTTGTTTCAGGATCTTTTTAAGAGGAAGCAGCCGCTTTCCCCAACTGGGGATGAAGCTATTGCGAAGCTCCAAAGGCTGCAGAGTTAGGAAATTGAGAGCATTGAAAAGAAAATGACCTTAAATCATTGTGGAATAGCCCCAGATGGTGCCTTTCATGCAAAATGTGTAATTGCTTTATTTTACACGGCCGCAACACCCATTTTCGTAGGTCTTCAGTCATCAGTAGTATCTTACTGTCAATAGTGTAGTTCGATATTATAAGCAACAGCCAATAAATAGGTCGCTGTTCTCTCGATCGGTCAAACATTGCATGAGTTTTTCTAGCACATTCATGTAAAGATTTATATAGGTTCCTTGAAGCTATTTGCGTGGTTGCATTATCTGCTTTCTCTCTG